TCTGAGGAAACATCTGCTGTGTTTTCCAGACCACACGGCTGAGCTTGAGAGTGGGGTCTACTCCCTAGCGACCCCTGCTGTACAAGAGCAGATATGACACTGCTGTGGGTTGACAGGGGCAGGAGTGGAAATGGTGGGCCATGCCTACCTTGGCTGATTTGGGTAAGGGTATCTGAGATGCAGATTCCCAGGTGTGGGTTGCGAAAAACAAGTAGAATGTAATGTGGAAAACAAGACTGAGTCATTGGCAATGATCTGTACTCTTCACTTTTGCCATGCTGTAGGGAACCTCTAGAATTCATTGTACATGTCCCAACAGGAGAGGACGTTAAAGCCTACCCAGTCCAGCCTTTTTAGTTACTAGCCAAGGAATATGCCTTGGAAAATGCACACTGCAGGTAAGGGTGAGAGCATCATCCACACAGGATGTACAGGACAGTGGCAGCTATGAGTGGTGAGGTGAGGTCATCACCTCTCTTCCTGGCAATCTATGAGAGCGCCATCGAAGTAAGAGTTTAGATGCCACTTGAATAACTTACTGGAGATTGTAGGAGATGAAGAAAAGAGTAACATGGCATTCTGGGAAGAGTGCACTCCCCAAGTAGAAGGGAATAGGACAAGGACATAAAATGTTGAGAAAGAAGTTGGTGGGCTAGAGATTAAAAACTGGAGAACCACTCTCAAATTTCAGTGTTTTTCTTAAGTAACCAAAACAGTTGGAATGAATGTGCTGGAATCCATCCCCGTGCTGGAAGAGCACTTTTCAGAGATGAGAAAGAAGTGACTGACTGTGATCATCACATTTTAGGCACATTAAATGAAAGAAACAATGTGAGACGCATCACAGTGACATTTTGGAATGTATTTTGAAGAATAAATTTCAAAATCCTACTAGCACCCAAAGCAAGAGAGAAAAAGAAAAAACTTACAAATGACTATCAATCGGGCTTATTCCAGAAGCTCGTCCTCTGAAACCCTGGAAGAGCATGGATTAATCGCCATAGCCACAATGTTTTGAGAGGAAGTATGGTGACCTGAGAATGGTAAATCCAGCCAAGTCATCATTCTAACATAAAAGCAGTTTCGGAAATGCATATGCTCAGAGCATATACCACCCAAATACCCCGTGTCTTAGGTCAGGTTCTCTAGAGAGCAGATTTTGAAACAAAGACCTGCATACCAGGCGTGCAGGAGGTTTACCGAGCATGCTTACTAGGGAGGGCAGAATTGGGCAGAAGGAGAAGTTGAGCTGCAGTATTGCAGTGAAGACCAAAACCAGCCCCACAGGGAGCTCTGGAGCTGCAGCAGCCCATGAGGGCGAGCCCGAGTCAAGGCAGGGTAGACCCTATCCCCCTACAGTGATGGGTCACTGGATGTCATTGCCCCAGAGAAGGGGAGGGACTATGGGCCAACCAACTCTGTTCCACTTAAGGCAATTCCAGAGAGACTCAGCTGTGACCATCAGCAGCTGGGGCAATCCTAAATCCTGTAGGAAGTTGGATGGCATCTTTAGCACAACAGTGTCAATTTTTCTTTTTTTAACCTAAAGTTGTCCTCTGGCCACCTAAGGAATAAATGTAACAATTTTAAAAGACCAAAGAGTTCTACTAATGCATGTTTAATCCTAAATGCCACATGCTTTATATACATAAAGTCCATGTGCAATGTACTATGTTAAACTATTTTAAATTGCACATGAACTTTATAGACACCTATGGCTCCCTTGGTTTCCCCATCTCATTTTTGTCCTTGTTTCTGGAAATGCCTCCCATAGCCTAGTGGAATCTCCTACTCCAATTTATGACCACTTGGAAGAGCAACTGGTACAATCTCTTTCTATTTTTCTTAACAATGGCTAATCTGTTTACGAGGTTAGAATACTGTGCTGTGAGGATCAGTTAAACAAATGACTCCTATTTCTCCTTTGGAAGAGCAAGATCAGATACAGCAAAATCATAGCCATATTATTGGGCAGGAATTTAGTGATGGTTCTAGGTCTTTAACAGCCTTCTTGAGAATAGCAGTTCCATTCTCACAAGTGCGACTGATAGGAGACTGTGGGGATCTGGAAAAGCTATGAAGAGAGGCATCAAGGAAAAATCTTACCTCATATTTCATACAAAGAGCCCATGAAGGAAATGTTCTCGAGATTATTGGGGTAGTTAAATCTACCATCAGTTTGATTCTATTTATTTTTGTTCTTTAGGAGGGAAGATGGATGAACCACTTGTTGGTAGACACTGTGTGTCACTGAGCCTTCATAATAACTTCTACCTCAGGCTTGCAGATGTTTTTGAATCAACTGAGCAAAAAGTTAGTGTGTGCAGAGGGATCTTGGTTGCATGTGAAAACCCATGAATAGAAAAAAAGACTGATTCTAAATTACCTCTTAACAGTAAAACTTGGAGTAATTTAAACTTTTTAATCCATGTTTCACTCTTTTGCATTTTCTAAATCTTCAATGAGCATTTTTACTTTTATAATTAAACAAAATGAATGCTTTTACAAATCAATGTTTGGATGTGAATATATACATATATACACAGACCATAGGAATACAAATAAACTCAAAATACACCCAAGCAGTAAATACTATCATTTCTATCTTAGAAATAGAATTGTGTGATAGAATAATAGCAGGCAGGGAAGGCAGTCTGTGGGACTATTTCTGGACAGGCAGTGCCAGAGTTGAATTGAATTAGAGGACACTCAGCTGGTATCTGCTGTGGAACTGACTGGTTGTCAGTGCAGAGAAATCCCCACACACTTCTTGGTGACCAGTGGCCACAGAAGCCTTGTGAGTTGATTGCTGCTGACTTATGTACAGAGGAAAGATGTGTGTTTTCTACTCATGATCAGATGAGACTTCCCTTCCTCATGCCATCTAGACCACCCCTGGTGGCTCGGTCTGACCTGGTCTCTAGGGTATAAGTTTTTGGCCACCACAAGCTGGCATACCTGGTGGGTTAACGGGATGGGGCAGGGTGGGGTAGGGTAAGAACAAGGCAAAAAGCCCATCTATGTAATGGAAGTGAAATGAAGCCTCTACTCCCATACTGATCACACTTACTTTGCTCTTTTTCTTTTTTCCATAGGGCTGATCACCCTCAAAGGGCCACAGATTCTCACCATTTATCTGTCTCTCTGACCTTCCCACCCAGCATAAGCTCCTGATGTCAAGAGTTTTTGTGTTGTTGGATGATATATCCCAAGGGTCTAACAGACAGCCAGACACATAAGAGGGGCTCAGCATATACTTTTGAATGAATGAATCTATATTTATTGGGATAAAGGGATTGATGATATACAAGGAGTGAAAAAAAAACCAAGATGGCATATGTAGCATAATCGTAATTAAAAAAAAATCAATGTGTGTGAGGGAACGAGAGCCTGGAAGACACAGTAATTGTCAATGTTGAATATAAATTGGGGGGTCATGGGTGATTTTATCTTACTTTTGTTTTTTGGATCGTCTGAATCATTCATGGTGTACAAGTTTAACTTTCATGATCACATAAAAATGTTTCTTTTAATTTAAAAGAGACAAAGAAGGGTCATGGAGACATGTGCTTGTAATCCCAGCACTTGGTAGGCTGAGGCAGGAGGGTCACCTGAGCCAAGGGATTCGAGGCTGCAGGGACCTATGATTGCACCACTGCACTCCAGCCTGAAGACGGAGCAAGACCCTGTCTCTAAGAAACAAACAAACAAACAAACAAAATAAAAGACAAAGAAAATGGGGTGAGTTCCTGAGCCAGCCATGAGCAGACAATGGGCATGGGCTTAGGTATTGAATGTAGCTCAGCGGGTCCCAAGTTGGTCTGTCCTTGTGATAATCTGGACCATCACTGCTTCCTGGAAACATCAACACCACCCAGTCTGGTTGGGGATACCCTCCATTTCATGGGCCTGGAATTGCTGTGTCATAATACTCTTTGGTGAAATTTCTTTCCCACTGGTCACCTCACTCTCCCCAAATTTGGTAAAGCCTGTTAAAAAGATGATGTAGCATTTTTATTTTGCTACAGTCTGAATCTAGGCTCCAATGGTAAACTTGCATATTAAGATGTGATGTAGTTAAAACTGTGTACATGAGCAGCCTGAATGATGAGTGCCTGCTGCTCTCACGAAGATCTGTGTCTGTGCCCTGTCAGCCCCATCAAAGAAGGGGCCACTTTCCAGAGCAAGGGCTGGCAGTCAACCATCTTGGGTCTGTCATTAATTCATTCCTATTAAATGGCAAACCTCACACTTCCTGTCTACCTTGTATTTCTCCATCACAGTATTGATCACTACCTAAATGCTGCACATCCATTAGCTTATTTTATGTCCATCCCCAGAATGTAAGCACCACGAGGCAAGGACTTTGTCTGTTTTGTCCTCTGCTGGATCTCTAGTCTGAGAACAATGTCTTGTGCATAGTAGGAGCACAGCAGATATTCAAAAGAAAGAGAGAAGGAAGAGAGAGAGGGGGACAAGGTTACCAAAGATAAGAGACACGTCTTTATAAAGAATGCTTCCATTTATTTGATTATTTTAAATCTGAACTTGCATAAAATAAATAGTTAGTTGTATTTAGCTCTGAGTGTCCTTGTGATATGAACTGGAGACGTGCCCAGGTTTGGGCCTTTGCTTCTCACCATCAGGCTCTGTGGCCGCAGCAATCAGCCCTGTGACATAGTTTGCACTGGTGACAGCTCTGCTCCAAGTGACTCAGGTATCGAGAGGAGGGGACGGTGATTGTAACTGCGTGTACCACAGGGAACACGGAAAGGCTCCTGGTGCCTGGGGACTCTGGGGTAGAGAGACCCCAAAGGGGCTCCAATCCCCCAAAAGGATATAGCTTTAAAAAGGACCTAAAAGGTATCAGCTCTCTTCCCTCCTACACTCGTGCTCTCTCAATCTCTCTCTCTGCCTTCACGCACCCTCCCGAAGACCCCACACACATGCTGTGGCACAGGAAGCTGCTGCCGGGGCCTCCTCTGCGGCCGGCAGTCTGTTCACACATTGGTGTGCTGAGAACCTGGGGACGCCATGCTGCCCGGCTGGCTTCGACCCGAGGGTGCTGCACTGACTGCCCGGCTCCTGGCCCACTCGCCCACCCCCGGGCTTCTCGGGGCCGGCTCATCCATCACCTTGAGCTTCTCATGCTCCTCCTTCAGGAAGAAATCCACCAGTAAGCTCTTCTCTTTCTTGATCTGCTCGCTGATGTCTGTTGGGATGTCTGGGATCATCCAGTCCACAAGGACGCTCAGGAACATCACAAGGTTCTGCAGAAAGCAAAGGGGAGCGGGGAGGGGCTGTGTGGGGAGGCCTGGCCAGGCGGGTGCCAGCCCCGGGCACAGCGCCTGTTAATTTTGGTACTAGCTGAATGATCTCGACCAGTGAGCGCACCTTTACCTCATTCATAAAATGCAGCAGGAGCAGTACTACCCCCGGAGTGGATGTGAGGACTACATGAGTTAAAACACATGAAACATCCGCAGCAGTGTCGAGCAGAGGGAGGGAGCCTGTGGCAGAAGCAGCTGCTCTCCAGCAAGACCTGTGGGACCCCTGCCCCAGAGTGTTCCCCGCATTTTGTCTTGCTTCTTGGCTTCTAAGCCTCCTGGGAGATGGTCATGAAGCCCTGTGTCCTGTCCTGGACTGTCGCTTTACCCTTTGCTCCTCTCCTCCCTCCACCTGGCTCTCTCTGTCCTCTGTACCAAAGACAGGCCTTTAGTTTTCACATTGACTTCCAGCCTCCACCAACCCCACTCAGGGCTCACATTCGCCTTGTTCAGCTCTCACTCACTATAGCCACTCCATTCACCGGCTCTGGGGAGGACCCAGGCCAGGTCGGGGCTCTTGTGCACACGGCAGCTGGTCTCCTTACTTTTGAGCCACGTGCTTCCCATGGTGTAGAGGTGGTTAGGACACCCTTTTCCTGGGAGTGAGTGACATGTGCCAGTGGTGCCTGGCATGGCCCAATGAACGCAGCTGTTCTTAGGGTCTGATTCTCATCTGCCTCCCCAAGCGCCCTTCACCCGTCTTTGCCTAGCACGTGCCTTCAATTGAGATATTCTTCTCTAGCTGCCAATAGCACACTCACACGCCTTCTCTGCCCTGGGATCCTGAGGACGGTAACTAAGCCCTTGATCGCTATGTACTCTTGGAGACTTAGGGGAAGACTTTGGGGACCAACTGCTGCTTCCAGAGGCTCCGGCCCCTCAGGGTGCCGCACCTAAGGTGCTGGGAAGCTGCTTCATCAAGTCTTGCACTCTTCTCCTGAGCCCACTCCTCATATGTGAGTAGTGACATGTGACACATGACATGGGTAAGTGAGGCAGCTCCTGCGGGTGGGGCAGTGGGGGTGTCTTCATGATCTCTCAAACCTATCATCCCATCTCTCTGGAGGAAGAATGGCTGGCTGTCTTCTCAGGTGAAAGACTAGCCGATGGGCTTCTGCACTTCCTGGGCTGGGGTCGGGGGCAGGATACTTTAGAGCTCCCCAGAGATCTGCCTTTGGGGAATACAAAAGCCTGAGGGAGCTCCAGAGAAAAGGATCTGGGCTTATGCCCTGGCCCTGCTTGAAGCCCGGCAGGGCCTGGAGTGGGAATTGGGGGCCCTGGAGCTTGGAGAATCTCAGCGATGCAATTGGACCCGTGGCTATTGTCTGAGATAGTAATCACTGGGCTCGAGTTTGCTATTCATTCAGGGATGGCTCGATGGCTCTGGGGGCCCTTCCCACCAGATGTCTCAGTGCTAAAACTGCATTAACAAAGGAGGGAGCAGAGAGCTCAGGAAGAAAGGTTCAGAACTGGAGCCCTTTCTCAGCTGCAGAGACGAGATGGGCTGTTTTTTGGCGTCGGGGCTGAGACTCTGGTTTCAATTGCTCTTACTTGCTTTCCTTTCTTCATCTTAGGTTTGAAAGGGAATCTATCTCTACCCGGAAACTTACCCCACATCTGTTTTGTAACCTTACTCTATGTTTTATTCTTTCTCTGCAAACTCCCACCTATTAAAGGAAGCCTTCCTGAGTGTCCTCCTGCTGTCCTAGGGAAGAAGCACTCCCTTCTGCTTGCCACTCTCCAAGGCCCCAGGAGTTACACCAGGGAAGCCCGGAGGTGGGGGGAGGGAGGAAATCACAACCATGGCTACCCCCCTGGCAGCCTGGATTCTGATGGGCTGTTTCCTACCTGAACTACTCACCTGGAAGATGATGACAAAAGCCAGACGGGCTGACAGAACAGACCAGTACTGTTTGGAAAATTCATATGGGTTCGGGGCCCATGGTGGCTCTCGGTAGTCCTTAAACCTGCCCAAAGAGAAAGTGGTGTTCAGATGGGAGGAGGGAGGAAACAGGTGGTAATTGCCTGGGTAAAAACTCAAGGGCTGGAGTAAGAGGCAAGCCCTTATTTCTGATCTGGGACATAAGGAGGAATTGGGAAACCTACAGCTTAAGTGAGAAATGTCCATGGAATAAAAAGGACTGAACTGCAAAGAGGTCAATGTCAGCCTAGAAATGTCTTTCCCTATTCATCTACAATATCCCCCAAAGCTTCCTCTTCCTTTGCTGTCAGGATGTGATGCCCAGAGGTACCCAGGGGTCATGAGCATGATCCAGGCCAGTAGGTCCCTCTTGGCTCCCTACCAGCCTGTGGCTCTGAGAGGGCAGGGGAGACCCTCAGACACCTCCTACCATGTTCTGCCACCCAGGCACTCTGTGAAGATGCAGGCAGTGGCTGGCAATCCCAGGCTTCTTCCCTGAAGTAGCTTTGGGACCATGATGACCAGAGGTGCTGGCTTTGCTGTGTGGCTGTGTCCCTACACCAAAGGAAGGCTTGTCCAGATAGAGCTGGACACTGGTGAATTTAAGGTGTTGCTAATATGCAAAGTTGGTCAAGGTCCTCTTTTGCTGTCCATCTCCCTGATCTGTCTGTGTGGTTTAGAAAACAAAATGTCAGTTCCTAACATGAGCTTGTGGCTATTTCTCAGACCCACAGAGAAGCCTCGGGTTTTCCTCAGCCTTGCCTTTTACCCCCATTCCAGAATGATTCATGTTAAAACTAGCTCATTTTCTCAGACACATTTTTCTAAGCCTGGAAAAATGACAAGGGCTGATATCAGAAGTATGACCCCTTCACAGAATGGTTTTCTCCATAGAATTCAACAAATCTTTGATGCTCAGTGAAAGCAAAGTGAGTCCTGGACAGCAGGAAGAGGTGAGTGGTGTCAGGCCACCAAGCAGTGTGTGGCTGCTAAGGAAGGCAGAGGAGGGACCCTGTTTCCGGGAGAAACCAGGAAACTATCATATAAGGGACACACATGTGTCCATCCCTGAACAAAGGCCTTTTCTGGAATGTTTCACATTTAGTCTTCACACCAACATCCCAAGCAGACATTGTTATCTCCAAGCCCCAAACGAGGAGGCTGAGGTGGCACAGAGAAGCTGAACTGTAGGCCAAGGCCTCACAGCCACAAGAGGGAAGTCAGGGTAGGAAACTGAATGTGGATGAATCCAGGCTCCCCCCCACCCCCGACTGCAGAACACCTCGGAATAGCTGCACTTCGGAGGCATTCAGAAGTGGTGCTCTTCAGTTCTTTCCCTTGCTCTGAATAAACCAACTTCTCTAAGAGATCCATGTAAAAGTATGGTGGCTTCCAGTTATCCGAGGAGAGATAGGGAAGAAAAATGAAAAAGGGGAAGAGAAAAAGAGACGCACAGATGAAGATAGAAAAAGGCACAGTGATGGTCCCAGAGCCAGAAGGAGACAATCTGAGCAGTGGACACTAAGCATGCACCGAAGTTTTGGCAAGTATCCAGGAGCTGCCCCCTCCCCAGCCAACTCCCCCTCTCCCAACAGCTGATCACAGCTGTTGCAAGCTTGGTTTGACATCCGGATGAAAAGGCAAAGCTAACTGCAGCCCAGCAGAGCACCACAGGATTCATCATATCTATCTGTAGCTGAGGACAGAAACATAGCCAGCTCCAGATTTTCCTTGCTGATGGGAGCGCAGGAGAGCGTGGCTAAATAAATAAGGACATCTTTGGGTGGGAAAAAACATCAACTCACCTCTCCTCCTGTTGTGCCCAGAAAGGACCCCATGGTGGAAGGCAGTTCATCCCACTCCTCTCGAGACCTCCAGAGGAGGGTGCAACATACACACATACTTCTTACCATGGTGAATCCTTCCCTAGGTTCAACCCAGTCTCTCCTGTTGCAAGTCCATTTCTCTCGGTCCCTAGCTCCCTCTATGAAGGAACAGCTGCTCACTGACCTCGGTATGAAAGCCATTGCTCACCCCCTTTTTTTTCCAGTCTGAAAAGAATCCATAAATAATCTAATTCTGGTTCCACCTCTGCTACTAACTTACCACAGCTTTTGGAAATGTCACTTTGCCCTCCCTGAGTGTACAAAACATGTTTTGAATTGAACAGGGACATCTATCTAACAAGGGATCTGAGGAAAGATTAACAGAGAGATCTGTCCAGAAAACTGTACTTGAAAATACCTTTATGCAGACGGGCTCTGAGTGGCTCTGTTAGGAACTCGAGGGCAAACTGTGCCACAGAAAAGAACAATGAGCAATTTGATGAATTATGCATCTGCTCACATTTCCCTTTCCCAAGCTAACTTCTAACAACCTGACCTATGGTGAGAAATATATTTTCATATATATTATTGAAATAAAGATTACACAAAACATCCTTGCTGTATGTGATGCACTGATATTTTTCTATTCTGTTCTTTTCTATCCTGTCCTATCCCATCCAATCCTTTAAAATGCTGATCATGACCCACTAAAGTGACTTCATGATTCACTAATGAACCATGATTCACAGTTTAAAAAACATCAACTCCAGTAAGCCTCTGCCACCAGGCAAATGATTGGTTGTTTACAGTCCGATGTAAGTTTAGATTTCATAATTGTTTTTCAGTTTTACCCTAAGACATCAGGCTTATGAAATGTTTTCACTAAGTAACTAGAAGATACCAATTAAAGAGATAAATTGCTTTAAGGAGATAAATGTTCACAGAAGAGAGTGGCAGATGGACTTAATTATTCCCACCACTGTGACAACAGTGTGTTTTGTTCCAAAGCCCAGAACTTCGCATTGACACAATTGGTGCTGTACAGTCAGCAGGTGAGGGCTTGGCTGCCATCTCCAACCCTGTAGTTCTGTCCTCCTGCAAATTACCTAATGTTCTGATGCCTACTGTCCTCCTCCATAAAACAGGCCCCTCCTCCATAAAACAGGCCTGAGCTCTCCATCTCACAGAGTGGTTCTGAAGATGTGGTGTCAACACGAGGTACTCAGCACAGTACAACATAAGAACCCAATATGCAGGAGCTATCCCTTCTCTTTTTACTGAAGGTTGCTTATGAAATATATTTCTTTTCTGAAAAGGGAACAGAGCACACAGACCACTGCTCCTAGCTCCTCCAGGATTTCTGGGAGGATTTTTGAGCACTCAAGCCCTTCAAGTTTTCCATGATGCTGATGCAGATCAGAGTCAGGCAATAGCAGGACTGCACAGGGCTTCTCCCAGGACCTACACTCCTGTGAATGGCATGAAACAGGCAAACTTCAGGCTGGTGGGTGGAGCCCCTAAAATCTGGGAAGGGGAACTTCTGGTCCATTTCCATCAGCTCCATAGCAGGCCTGTTCCCCAGACTCGGAGAGCTTGGGATTCCCAAAGTCCCATCAAGTAGTCACAGCACTGGGTGCACCCTGACACCAGGTCAGTATCCTGCATCTGTTGGTTGTGGAACCCAGAGAGAACTAGGGATTAAAGCTCAGGGCTATCATTTTAGGGGTATTCCTAAATCTCACCCTTACCTTTCTGGTTCTTCTTCATTTTCCTTGAAGCTTAATATTAATTTTTAGTTCCCCTGGGTCTTCTAATAAGGAGAGACTTTTAATAATGAGGCAGCTAGAGTATCTAAAAAGCCTGTCTTCCCTTGGCTATGCTGCTTCTTATCTGAAGACCCACAATAAGGTATTTCAAATTTCTGAACCTCAGCATCCTGCCACGTAAAGCACAACTACTAAAACCCAGTGCTAGGTACATAGAAGGTCTCTCAACCCCAACCAGGAATAAACAAATAGGTATATATGTGCATAATTGTGTGAGTATGTATATGTGTGAGTGTATGTATGCTGAATGTTAAAGGAAGACATAGTGAGAATTAAGTAATATAGCACATGTGAATGTGATTACTGGAGGCTTCCACAGAAAATGAACATAATGGTTTCTTCTGGGGGAGAATGGTTGGTGGGGTGGGGGCTGAGAAGAACAGTTTCTTTTTCTTTCATATCCATATGTAGTATAGGCCTATGAAATCACTTTTATAATAAAGTTCATGATTTAAAAAAGAATATAATTAAAGGTGATATTCGGTTTATCCAAATACATTTTTACCCTAAGCTTTCAGGCAAAATTATATTGCTACTTTGGACCAACATATAATAAATGAAACTGGTATACAAATCAACATTATATTTTAGCTTTAAAACTATATTAATATTTTATCTAGGTTGTTCTAACTTGGTGAAAAATCAGATTGATTGAGTTGAATTTATAGATTACTTAGAAAAGGTTCTCATTAACTCAAAATGCATTTCATTATTATACAACAAACCCATAGAACAATACCTTAAAGTACAAGTTCATACTGTACTAATGAATAGGCAAATGTCTGGAGAAGATTCCCACATAAGTGCCACCTGTTCCCACAGGGAAGATTCTCAGGATTGGGCAGGGATTCGGGGAGAGACAGGACAGAGCTGGAGAGGTTACCTACCACATTTAGAAATTTTGTCAGAATAGACTAATATGTTACATGTATCATTAAATATGAATTCTCTTTAAAAGCAGAAAAGACTCTTTGGAGATTCTTTATTCTAAATCTCCCATTTTTGCAGACAGGGAAACCAAAGTATAGAGAGGGAAGAGAGAAACTCCTGGTTCAGATGTCCACATCCCGTCTTCACTTTTAGGGTAAACAGTGATGGTGACATCTGCCACAACTCTTCGCAATACAAATCACAGTAGGCCAAAGCATCCCCCCGAGGGATTGGCCCCCGACAATAGTCACCACTTTTTAATGAGATTTTGTTATAGAGTGAATCACTTAGTAAATGCATTTCTCAAATCCAAATAGTGGAGTAAAAAAAAAAAAAAAAAATTAAATAGCCCCAGAGGACTTTTCCCTGGATGTGGGTGGACTTGAGTATGCAAGTTCCTAGGACCTGCAGGGAAACCTGGCAGGCACCATGCGTGGATGCTGCCTTTTGGAGCTCAAGACCTC